AGCTCTAGAAGTCCACGAAAGCTATTTTGAGACATAGGAGGGCTACTTGAGAATAAAGCCACTTAGCATAACGGTGCCAGAGCTAAAAGTCAGGGAAGAGAAACTGGGTCCCAGTCACAGAGTTGGAGTTGTGGATACAGTTGTATAGGTTGGGGAAACCTACACAAATCAATAAATTTGCTTTTCTGAGCCAGCTGGGGTCAGGTTTTCCTGTTACTTGCAACCCAGACATCTCAGCTCAACAACTAAAAAACTATGTACTGGGAAACACAGGCCTAAAAGTTTTTTACTGATCATTTGGACTTTCATTTTCATAATGAATCACATGAAAACCCACAAAATACTGGCAATACCCACGGGGTGTTTAGGAAGGAAATTGGTTCTTTCCTCCTTTTGTTAGCTTTTCTTTTTCTTTCCCTCTCTCAACGTCCAAACGAAACACTTGAATAAATCCTATTTAGGATGCCAAGTGCAGTTTTGACTGAAGCCAAGTGCACTTTTGAACACTGTATTAGTTTTGCAGGAAGGTGATGAGAATCTCACAATGTCAACTGTGGGGTGTCCTGTGGATTTTCCTTCCTTTTGTGGGTAATATATACTATGACCTCTTGAATGCCCATTATTATCCACCGTTATAATCTGCTATCATCATTTAGTAAAGAAAACACAACCCTAATTCCCCCACTGCAAGGTGAATTCTGGGCAGGTGTCAATGTCAACTGCAGATTCCACAAGTATTACTGGATCATGTGTTCTCTTCTTCAGTTTTGGGGACAGATTTTGAACCCACGCACCACAGGGCAAATATTTGTAAACATCCATTCATCACGATGATGCTAATCTAATTGTATGGTATCTGATTCAGTCACATTTCGTACACATCGGGTATATATTACATGGTGGAGTTATCCTTGTATCCACATCACCCCTGCCTGTTATGGCACAGTTGTACTTGTCCTTGGCTTAATTGTTCAACAGTTAAGTCTATCTATCTATCAGGTACAATGTACACTGTTCTGGTGATGGGTACACTGAAAGCCCCGATTTCAGCATAATACAATTTATTCATGTAACAAAAAACAAAACACTAGTGTCTCCTAAACTTTTTGAAACAAAAAGTATATCTGCAGAGAACTCAAATTCATCAACAAAAAAAGAATAAACAATCCCATCTATCATGAGGCAAGAGACACGAACAGAACTTTCTCTGAAGAAGACAGACTAATGCCAACAAATACATGAAAAAACTCTCATCCTCCCTAATCATCAGAGAAAGGCAAATCAAAACCACCTTGAGATGTCACCTAATTCCATCAAGAACAGCCCACATCACAGAGTCCCAAAGCTCCAGATGTTGGTGTGGATGTGGAGAGAAGGGAGCACTTGTACACTGTTGGTGGGACTGCAAACTAATACAGCCTCTTTGGAAAGAGGTATGGGGAATCCTCAAAGAACTCAAAATAGACCTTCCATTTGACTCTGAAATCTCATTACTAGGGATCTACCCAGAAGAGAAAGAAGACATTTACACTAGATTGTTTATCACAGCTCATTGTATACTCACCCAAGATGTGGAACCAACCCAAGTGCCCATCAACCCATGAATGGAAACTGTGGTATATGTATACTATGGAATCTTATTTTAGCCGTAAAGAGATGGAGACTTTATAACTTTTGTATTAGCCTAGATTCCAACATTTTCTTGGAATTTGAGAATATTTTCTTCATTAAAGTATCACAAGAATGGAAAAGCAAGCATCTAATGTATTCAATACTAATATGAAGCCAGTAGATGAACTAATACAAGGCCACACAAGAGAAAACTCAATTAAAAAAATTTTTTTTGCTTTTTAAATTTTTTTTATTAGATCATAACTGTGTACATTACTGCATTTATGGGGTACAATGTGCTGATGTTATGTACAATTTGGAATGCTTACATCAAACTGGTTGATAAAGCCTTCAAAACTCAATTTAACTGGAGTTGGGGGCAAGCGGGGGAGGAGGAGAAGGGACAGTGATTGGTTTGCTCCCTACCTAATGGCACAATGCAAATTTATATGGCACACCTACTGGGGGAGGGGCACAACTGCAATGGGGACCTTACCTAAAAAACACAAACATTGTAAGCTAATGGTTTGCACCCTCATATTAATCTGAAATTTAAAAAAATATGTTAAGTGTTTAGCACAATTCCTGGCATTTGGAAATTTAAAAATCATGCAAAAAGTTATTGTTATAGAAATTGTTGGTGCTGCTATTATTTAGAGTAACCACAGACATCAAATTTGATATTTCTTTGTGAAATATACCAGAATTTTTTTAAAAAGCCACAAAGCCAATATACATCTGCTGACATGATACAAACAAAACCAGTTAAATTTTCTTAAGTCTGCAAAACCAACTGTGTAAGATTCTTGAGACAGAACCATCCTCACAAAGATGCTTTCACTTTGCTCACTCCTCCCCCATCCTCAGCTGCACAGCCCCAATACAACTTATTAACAATGCCCATAGTGTCATCAATTCCTTGAAATTCTTTTTTTTTTTGTCCCCCCCCCGCCTATGCAATAGGGGCGTGGAGGGCCAAGCTTGGCTGTCTTCCCTGGGGGGAGAAGGGCAGGCTGTATTCCACGTTTGGTGTTGTGCCCTTGGCTTCCCTCCCTTATTGACTACATTGTTTGGGGGATTTGACAGTGAATGGTTCCACTGATCCAAAATCCAGACGGTCTGTGAGTGCTGGGCATGTTGTCAGGGTGGCAGCTCCTATTACCAATGGCAGTATGTGGCCAGGGACCTCTCCCCCACAAGGGCCTCATGTGGGCCTCAATGGGCACTACGGTCCCTAAGCCTGGCTTTAGACATACACACACCTAAATGTATTAAACACACACGCACAACCTGTTCCGTGAGCCGCATAACCCTGGATCAGTTCTCGTGACTGATGCTATTCTGTTCTCAGGGAACGCTTCTTTAGTTCCATGTCCTAAAAACAAAAGATCACAGCCTCTGAATGCCATGAAGGACTGTGACACTGCTGATGCTTAGATTAAAAAATGGTCAGCTTGTCAAATCCTCCTCAGACCACATGAATATTGAGATTCCTGCGTTATAAAGTGTAAAGCATAGTTTCCCAAGGGTGAGAATCATCCATTTTCTTGTTTCTGTCAGTGTTCCAACTCGGGTTCCAGATGTAAGGAGAATCAGCATGGTTTTGCAACAGTTGCACATGACAGTTAGGGCTGACAGCAATACTGACTACTCTTAAATTCCCCTATATGAATGTTGGAAACACGGTATGCATTTACATAATATAAGGGATGACACAATTCACAGCATAAAAGAGAGCAATTCATATGACAAAATCAAACTAGTATTTTGTAATTTTTCTGTAATAATTGATCACACTGGTCCCATTATAATGCAGGCCATTAAAATTCACAGGTTATTTCTAAACCCGAGTATCTCATTTTAAAAAGCAATTTCATGGCTCGGCGCCTATAGCTCAACCGGCTAAGGCGCCAGCCACGTACACCTAAGGTGGTGGGTTCGAATCCCCAGCCCGGACCCGCCAAACAACAATGATGGCTGCAACCAAAAAATAGCCGGGCGTTGTGGCGGGCGCCTGTGGTCCCAGCTACTTGGGAGGCTGAGACAGGAGACTCGCTTGAGCCCAGGAGTTGGAGGTTGCTGTGAGCATTGATGCCACGGCACTCTACCCAGGGGGACAGCTTGAGGCTCTGTCTCAAAAAAAAAAAAAAAAGCAATTTCATTATAAATGCTTCAGCAAAATTTCTTCGAGTTGAAATTAATAAACTATACTCTAAGACAATGACTCAGGAGAGATGGTCTAATTTGGCATTTAAGAACATAATCTTAATTGTAACAATATGTTTAATATTTGTGATTTTACTAAAGAATAATGCATTTATGAAAAATGATGATTTATGAAGTACGTGTTTGTTCTATAGCACTCCACATCCAGACGCCACCAGCCCATGAGCCGAACAGGGAGACTTTTACCACGACGACTAAATGCAGTCACCTTGGACATCTGGCTGACATTCACTCTTATGAAACCATAACTTTACACTTAATTTTTCTGTTTCATTGGCACAAAAGTATAATTGTCAGAACACATTTTAACAGCTTGATTTATAACTTTTAAATATTTAGGTTTATGGCATATGGGCCTCCATTTCTCCTCCTGCCCCATCGCGCAAATGTTGGTGGCGGGCCCGAGCGAGTGGCACCCGGATCCCGGAGCTTTAGCTCCAGAATCCCAGCGCTGGGCTCCCAGGAGCGTTCCGGCAGGTGTCCGGAGGCCCCACCCCGCAGTCCACCTCCTCGAGGATTGGCTGTCTCCGTGCTAGTGGGCGGCCCCTGTGTCGGGATGAAGTTGGGGGTCGCAGTCGGGGGCTGCGCGGGATTTCAGGCGCTGGAGGCTAGAGCGCAGCGCGCGGGCGGCACCAGCTGTTGTCCAGCCGTGTGCGCGCGCTGCAGCCCGAGAGGGGTTCCCCATGCCCTTTGCAAACCCGCTTGCTGTCCCTTTGCGCCCTGCCTCCTGCGGCTCTCCCCAGCTGCCCCGCAACTCCTGGGTCCGGCCCGCTGGGGGAAGGGCGGAGAGTTCCGGACTCCAGGCCTCGCGCGTGTCGGAGCAGCCTTGGCGCGCTGCCCCCCGGTGGCCGGGCCAGGGGCGCGGTGTAGGACCCGGGCTGGGAGGGGCCAGGCCGGGGCGGCGCGCGGGGGCTGCAGGAAGCGGAGGCGGCAGTCGCTGGGGGACCGGCTCCGCGGGGTTGGAGACACCCGGAAACGGATTCCGCTCCGGTGCCCGCGCCAGCCGGGTATCTCGGAGGGAGCGAGAGAGGCGGGCGGGCAGCTGCTGAGTAATCCCCGCGGCGGCGGCCGGGCGCCCACATCCCCCGCCGCGCTGCAGCCCGGCCGCGGCTCCTCCCTCCGCGTCCCTCCCCTCTGCTCCCTCCCCTCCCCCGCCGCCCGCTCCGCTCGCCTCCCGGCAGGTAGAGCCGGGCTCTGGGCGCGCACGGCGCTGCAGCGGCTGTCACCCCGACCTCGCCTCGGCCCAGCGCAGGGCCTCTCGCGCCTATGGCCGGTTCCGAGCAGCAGCGGCCTCAGCGGCGGGACGACGGAGACTCGGACGCCGCGGCGGCGGCGGCGCCCCTGCAGGACGCGGAGCTGGCCCTGGCCGGCATCAACATGCTGCTCAACAATGGCTTTAGGGAGTCGGACCAGCTTTTCAAACAATACAGGTGACTGACGCGCCCTGCTCCCCTGCCCGGCCGCGCGCACCTCGTGTCGGGCTCGCGAGCTTCAATCTTTGGCTGCCCCCGGGACCCCTTCCCCTTCCCCTTCCTGTCGGTCACTAATTCCCAGTCCTCACCTCGCCTCACCCGATCTGATCTGCAGTCGGCGCTTCTGCGCCTTTGTCACCTCGCGGCTTTCCGCCCCCCACCCCCAGCTCCGTTGACCTTTCCCTCCCCGGGACCTGCCGCGCGTCCTGCCCGCGCTCCCGCAGTCTCCCCACTCTCTCCCCAGCCTCGCCCTCTGAGAGTGAGGAGTGCCCAGTGCTTGCCGGCTTCTCTCAGCACTTGCCCTCCTGTCGCCACGTCCCGAGCCTGTTGGCTTTGGGACTGGATGCGATTTGAGGCTGCAGCGAGCTTGGGACCTGCGATGTGGTGACTCTGGCTCTGGTGCTGCCCGGGCAGCCTTTGTGACACGGAGCGCTCCAGCTTCATCTGCCGGTTTCTTGCGCCTCGCATTGCTTTGCAGCGTTGTGCGTTCCAGACGCTTTTATTGTTTGAAAACAGATATGCGTAATTGCTTGCCTTACAGGAATTTAAAAATTTCAGCCCAACTCTGCCTCCTCACTTCTTTGTCTTCTAAAAAGTCAGTCCTCAAAATGGGTTGCCTTTCAAGCAAGCGTCTTTGTTACGAATTTCTGTACGGTAAAGAAAGGAAAATGGAGGGATTTTTAAAAATGCATAAGCATATAAGAATGGAAAGGGGAAATGTGTGCAGTTAATTTTTTACTTTTTACTTAAAAATAAAGAAAGCGAAAGTACTAAAACCGGGTAGCTTTCTTGTGGGTGTGGAAGGAGCCTTCATTTCATTGGGGGACCTGGAACATCGGCTTTCTGGTTTTAGGAAGCAAGTTTGTTATCTGCCCTTTCAATGTTGAGAAGCCATGAGATGTTGGTTAGCCACTTTCTTGAACACGTGTAAGGGCCATAATATGCTTGACACTTCTGAGACCCATAGTTTGATTGGCATGAGAGGACCAAGGTGCAGGTGTGACTGAGAGCCACAGTCTGTAAGAAAACGAGGGAGAAGAGAGAGATACAGTTTAAAAGTTCCAGAGCTCAAAGGATGGTGGTCTCTCCCCAGCCAGCTTCCATAGTCTTAATGGCAAGCAAATAACTCCAACTTTGAACTTTTCACACAAGCCATTTTGCATTTTTGTTTTCTTTTGGTCTGAAAATGAAAACTTCTTAGTTTTACTCAGAACATTTTATTTTTAAGGCGTGTAAGTCTGGTTTCAAGCCAAAGTCTTACCGAAGGTTGTTGATGGAGGATTTAAAAGATTTTCTTGTCCCTTATCATTTCTTTATGTAGATTTTTAGCCCTCTGAAAATGTATTTCATGAAACAAATCTATTTCCTATACTGTGCTGTGACTATTTTAGACTGCCAGTTTGTGTTGTATAAGAGTGTCACAGAGTCCAATTTACTCTTTAGTTACTGATCAAAGTACATACATGTCTCCATACTTCTCGCTTTGAAATTTTCTGCAGTATTTGTTTTAATGGTCTTTTTTTCTTCTTTGGTGCTGTAGTATACTTAAATATTTCCTCGTGGTTGCCTTTATGTTGGAAGTACGACGTTTTGGCCTTACCTAGACAGTTTTATGCACTGTTAATGGAGGGTAGATTGTTGCTCTGTTCTCAGCAGCAACAGAGAGATGCACTTTGAAATATTTCTCCGCGGGTGTGTGGGAGGTGGAAGATTTACCCTGTGTAGCTATGAGCTGTCTGCTTATATTTTGAAGTGGGAACTGATGATAAGGGAGGGGAAGAATATTGTAGTACCTGTTCTCTGCCAGGCACAGTGCTGGACACGTTCTCGTCTACATTCTCACTCTGCTAATGACAAGAGCCTGAGGTGTATCTTGCCTGACAGTTTCACAGAGAGGGACATGAGACTCAGTTTCTCGCATGGGATGAGGCACAAACACTGCAGGTCTGAGTCGAGGACTCTCTTCATCTTCCCATTTGCCTCCCTCACTACATTTATTGTATTTTGTCATCTGCTCTGCGGCCTGTTTTCCAGCAATGTTCCAAAGCTTTCTTAGAGGTGGTAGGGGAGCAAAAGACAGGTGGACAGGGACAGCGTTAGCCCATCACCTTTCCCTGTCTCTGTTTGGGATGTAGAAAGTTATTACATTCTTTGTACCTCCAAAATGCGCTTCTGTGATTTGGGGTTTTATTGTTTGTTGTTGTTGTTGTTGTTGTTGCTGCTGTTATGGCGATTTTTTCTTTTGAGACAGGGTCTTTCTTTATCACCCAGGCTAGAGTGCAGTGTTATCATCATAGCTCACTGCAACCTCAACCTCCTGGGCTCCAGCCATCCTCCTGCCTCCTAAACTAGCCTTATAAGTCACTTGGACTAGAGGTGTGCACCATACCTGGCTAATTTTTCTATTTTTGTAGAGATGGTGGTCTCTCTCTTGCTCAGGCTAGTCTCAAACTCCTGGCCTCAAGTGATCCTGTTGCCTCAGCCTCCCTCCATATGAGGATTACAGGTGTAAACCACTTCCCCCAGCCATGGAAAGCACCACTGTTGAGACTAGAGGTAGGGTCATGGACTGGAGGCCAGCAGCCAGGGTTCCAATTTTACTTAGCCCGTTTTGTAGCTGCTGACTTTAGTGTCTCAAAATTTGCTTCCTTGCCTGTTAAACAGAGGAGCAGCAGTAATATTATTCACACCATGGTGTGGTTGTTAGAATTAAAAGAAATGATCCATGGTCCCCGGCACAGTGTAAGCACTCAGTGAACACTAGTATAGTGTTTGCACCCGGTGCCTTCACCCCTAGGGTTGTGCTCTATTCTTAACTGCATAGTTTGAGTATAGGGCAGAGTGTCCTCTATGCAGATAGCACTTAGATCTGATGTTTGCTGCATTTATCCCATTTGAAAGATTTAAGATCCTGTTATGCAATGGGAAACTTCTCTTTCTATTCCAAAGTTGAATGGTCTGCTGAAGGCTGAGCAGTAACTTCATGATGTTTGGGGAGCCCCTCTGGTTCCATTTATCTGTAGAACAGAGAGAACTGAATTCACAGCTCTGCCTTCTTTTTAAATGAATATTATTTACCATGGAAGGGCTCCCTCCTTCCCCTGCTAGTAAACTTTCCAGAGTCTTGTTGTTACAGTTTAACATCTTTTGTGTCCAATGTAACAATATTTTTATTAAAGCAAGCAGGTCACTTTCTACTAGGATGGTAAGTTCCATCAGCAGCTGCCTAATGAGAAATGGTTACTTCATAGAAACAGATTACCATGAAGGCCATTCGGAACTGATAGGTGGGAAGTCTGGATAGTATAATTCAGATATTGAACACACAGGAGTTAGAAGCACATGCTCAGTAAAGGCCTTCTTTTGAGATGTAAGACAACTTCCTGGTTGGGATTTCAAAACGTAGCTGCCACTTCTTTTGGAACAATAGCAATAACGTAGTAACAAACCTCCCTGTTGGTGGTGATGAGCTACCATCGTGTACTTTGAGATTTTTTCCCAGAGATCAGGACAGATTGGCACTGTTTCAGGGCCTTTCTGCTTTGAGCCCGAGGACATACCTTTGTAAACTATGATCCTGCCCACCTGACATCAAATTTCTGATCTTGGCCTCTGTGCTCAGCGCTCGAATCAAGTAGGACTTAGCACATACACACACACTTAAATGTTTACGTGTGTTTGTGACACACTCAGACTTTAGGTGCTCTGGAGCTTGCTAGGACAGACTGTGGGTGACGTCCCCAGGGCAGGTGCTAGATATTTGGGTGATGCATTGTGGGGGAAGACTGACAGTAACACTGTGTGCTGGAGCCTGGGGAGCAGAGAGAAGCACCATACAGCCCAGTGCGAAGGGCAGTTTTATAGGGGGAATGATGCCTGAGCATTATGATGGGGTCGGGGGAGACAGTTGAACCAGAAGGAGTTGCGGGGGCAGGGAAAGAAGAAAAGGAGAAGGAGAGGGGTGGTGAGGTTTAAATTGAAGTCTAGGAAATGGTGAATAACCCACCCAGGGACACAGCCTGGCAGTGGGAGGAGAGCGGTCAGAATGGCATACAGCCACGCATCCCATTATGGGCTGTTGTTCTGGGTGGCTTCTTCTTACCACCCGCAGGTTGGTGCCTGGTTTGTAAGTGCGGTTTTATGGGACACAGCCACATTCATTTGGTTATGCATGGTCAGTGGCTGCTTGTGCACTACACCTGCAGAATGACAAGTTGTGACAGAGACCATAGAGCCTGCAACATCTAAAATATTTCTTCTCCAGGCTTTTAAGAAGCAGTTTGTGGACCCTTTATACCAACCATGGGCCTTGCAGGAAAAACTTAAAAACATACGTAGGAGATGCTGGACCAGCAGGCCTCTGAGCCTCTTCTCTGCCCCAGAGTGTGTCAGATCCTTGGGGGAGGAGGGGTAGGAAGGACTTGCAGGCTGCCTATCTTTTCTGGGCACACTGGCAGCTCACAGACAGAAGTCTGTGTCTGCCTTGCTACTGGAGTCTACAGGAGAGTCCATAGATGCGGAAATGCAAGAAGAGGAGAAGAAACGAAAACCAGGAATGGTTTAAGGGAATTGGCGGGAGATGGGAAACTCATATTTGACTTTTTCCGTCCTCTTTAACTCTGTGGTATGTTTGTAAAAAGGCTCATCTTTTTTCCAACTATTGCATGTCTGGAAAGATCCCAATTAAATACTCATTAAAGATTCATTTGGCTTAATTGGGATTCTTTTAAAAATGCAGCTGTGTGTAGAATACAGGGAAACATGAAAGGAAATTACCAGAAAAAAGTACCCATGCCGTAGTGTGCATATGTGTGTACACTTGTACACACGCAGAAAGTTCAAGATGTGAATCCTTAAAGGAATCTGTGTGCTCCAAGGCATGTAGACAGTCATCCCTCAGTATCCATAGGGGATTGGCTCCAGGAACTCCCAAAGATACCAGAATCCTCAGATGCTCA